CCTTATACTGTCGTTAGATCATCCTGAAAGTTTTCGCGGCTTTGAACCATTCCCGTACATTCCGATGAAATACAATATTTTTACGTTATTGATAACAAAACTGATAGTAATAATAACATAAAATAGAAATGCTATCACAGTCAAATACATAGCAATTCACGGATATTTGCAAAATTTACAGGAATGTAATAAATTAACAATAGTTTACACAGTACGAATATAAAGCAAAACATTTTTAGCATCGCCCCCTCAGTTTTCAAAAGTGTTCCTCTTCAACGAAATTACCAAAAAAGAAAAAAAAAAAAGAAAGAAGTGGCGAGATGAGAGTAATCTCAGGAGAGATTCCATAGACACACGATTATTGAACTCGTTTGAAAGGTTATTCAAAGGTCCCTCGCTAAAGGTCGAAAACAAGGCGAGAGACAAAGTAATTCGAACGTTCCATCTACCTTTGGCATAAAGTTTTCTCAATTATTAAAACGAGACGTTTGCTCGCCAACATCCAACAGCATGAGGCACATTTTTTCCCCCAAGCAGACAGTTCAATAAACGATTCGTAGAAACTTTCAGGATAATCTGAACGACTTGAATCCTGGATGCCTGATAGAGTCCAGATAGTTTCGCCACGTTAGAGGACTCTCGTCGTGAGGAGAGAACGACGAGAAGACTCGTTGGCTGTCGAGAAAAGCGACGAGACAGTGAAAGTACAGCGCAATCGTAATTCCTTCTGGCTGAGTTTGGAAACCTGCGTAATGTACCGAGGAAAAATCGCATAACTTACCTATTAATAGGTCGATGCACCTGAGAGCGCTGCGCCCTTTAAACCTTTGTCGCATTCCTGGAAAATTCCGGCATCGTTTCCAACAACGACGTCGTACTCGGATCGATGAATTATTAGCATTACCGAAAGATAACGATACTTCCTAGTACCGTGGCTCTTCTTTTTTTTTTCCTTTTCGCCTTTGTCTGATCTATATTTAATTCTGTTAATTATTTCCTACAATGTCGCCTTTGTCCGATCTGTACTTGATCCACGCAGAGAAACGCTCGTTTCTCTTCAAGATACGGGCGCAAAGGGATGAAATTTCCTCGTCTCGAGATTCCGACAGCAGCTGGGGATTTTCTCTCTGTTATCATTCCCGCTTCGGAATCTCACCAACGTCTGTCCTCGAGCGTTCCTCGTTTCTTTCTTTCCTTTCGATAAGTGTTTTTCATTAAAAAGAAAAGAAAAAAAAAAAAGAAGAAAAAGAATGGAGATCATTTCGTTTTCTCTCGTTCTACCGACTCATCCGGTTCCCTTCACTGCGGTCATCATCTCGTTACCAGTTTTTTTTTTCTTTCCTCGCATTTCACTCGGTCTCTCTTTGTTTCCAACGACATCGGAATGAGCACAAACTCTCCGAGCTCCGAATCTCGTAACCGCGTTCGCGATCGATTTTTTTTTTTTTTTT